ACTGTGTTAATTACTTTGAATAATTGTCGACAATGCGCGCCTTCCTCCTGGGACCTGCTAGACGTCTGTTGTGAACGAGAGCGTTAGAGGTCGTCGTAGAAATGTTAGGAGCGTAGTTAAGTGCAAGCCTTTGTGCAATAAGCAATTAGTTGATGATTATGTAATGAATGCATGTATAGTGTAGTGCGGCTTTTTAGTCGAACGTATGTCCATTATGAGAGTAGTTTGGAAGGTATTTCTCAGCATATGAAATATACATTGCGTTTCTAATCAAAAACGATATATGCGTCACTGTTTTTTTATCGATTTTTTTTATCTGATCCTATCTGTAGTCACGGTGCAACTTATCAAGTCACAAAATAACAGTGGAAAATTCGTAATAACCCCATACGTCAACCATTTAATCAAAACACTGTATTTCTGTTTTATGATCCCGTCTTTATATATCTCAGATATCTGTCTCTCTCTCTCTCTCTCTCTCTCTTCTATATATATATATATATATATATATATATTTCTATCTATATATAGATAGATAGACTGTATATACTAACTATATATATATATTATCAGGAGTTAATAAAGACAATTTTGTCTTTATTAACTCCTGATATTATATACATCTCAGGCGTTTGACTGGTACCCGTCCCTTCTCACAAGCTCGATATATCGAGATATATCTCACGAGCTCACAAGACAACGCTCACAAGCCCTATATCGAGCTTGTGAGAAGGGACGAGTACAGTCAGTCTACTCAGCGCGTTTGCATCAGACACATTGCAACTTATAAAGGCATATCCTCTGCGATATACTCAACACTCGCGCCATCTATCGGCAAAGGAACTCGCTTTGAAGTCGGTATGCTTAGAATATATGATTTCTACCAAAATTTTCTACATAATTATTATTTTGGTAGCATTTTTAATGCAGAAAATGCGCGACTTATAGCGCGATCACGGAAGTAACCTTTAGCCACCTAACGTAAAACTGACATGGATTATCTTGGTCTTATTGATAGTCATTCCAAAGCTGGGTCTAATTGGTAATGAAGGCGCTTGAATTTGAAAGTGGGTCGGTTTTTTGGAATGATAAGGATCTCGGATAAGACATCTTTCCTAATGTCACGCAATGACGAGTGGAAGAAGTTGCTTTAGGGCCAGGCGTGCTCCGTTGCAGAGCTTTTGTGAATCAAGAGTATTATCGATTGGCATAATGAGCCCCTCCAACCAGGTGGGTAAATGTTCTCTTGATTTCTTAATGTTTATGCATTTTCTACATTGTTCCCATTAATAAATAATTTGTTCCCTAAATGTTATTGCGCTGTGTTCCACGATCCAGGAAATATAAACCACTGTTCCCCATAATTGTCGCTTGACGCTGGGCGTGAAAGGGACTATAATTGTGGACCCTAATGGTCCCTACAGCACACTATGTTGAAATGACCCTGAAATACTTTCAAAGTTTATTGTAAACAGTCTCAGAAACTGAAAAAATCACAAAGAGGAAAAACATAGTTTCCTCGTTCCCAAAATCTAATCAGCAGTTCCTTTTCCCGAAATAATTCGATCATATCCTGTTTCCAGAAAAGTGAATGTTCCTTTCTGCCTGTTCCCTAAAACCACTGGCAGGGGCTCCATTAATGGCTTGGTTTTATACCCGCGAACATAGGATATCAAGAAGTTTCCAAAAGTTTCTTTTGCACGATATGGAATGTACAGGAGTTTCTGAAAATGTTCCAGTGGCATATTGAAAGTGAAGGACGTTCTATTGCGCAGTAGAAATTTCAGGAAGTTCTAGAAGTTCTAATTATTCCATTGTGTAATAATGAAAATCAATCTCTAGCGTCCTTACATGAGTCATGCGTCACGTCAACCATTTGTGGGGGTCGAGGCAACATTTGTATATGCTTCTATAACACAAAGTTCCGTATCTCGCTTGTTTGGCCAGTAATTGAAATGTTCTCCTCCGCGCGATCCCCTACGACTCCAGTGACCACGCAGACCGGTGATCTGCTTCGCCCAACCATTGGTGGGTCAAGAAACTTTTTACTTTATAACAAACTCTCTATACTGGCCACGTTAAGCACAGATAACTGTTTTGCCTACGATGACTTCCAGTGACCTCTGAGGTCAACGACACCTATCCCACCGGGCATGACAGTCTCGGGTCAAGTTACCCCTGTGATCACTTTTCAGCCGGAAAGTACAACCGTTGGTCGTCTTATAGCCGGACGACAACGGACGAACAGACAAACAATCACGCAGAAATATTAGTAAAGATAAGCTATCTACGTTTTAGCAAAGTTCGCGGAAGAATTTGGCGCCTTTTGTAATCCTTATGAATGTGATATTGACGGGTGCCGCACCGTCGATCACTTCTGGAATTATATTAGGATACATTAGTACAGCGCCATGCATGTGAAAGACGAGGCCCTCTCACTAAAAATCCATATGGAGATCCGGAATTGCCGACGACACCTAACTTTCTAGGTCGGGTCCTGTCTTGTAAAGTCTCTTGTTGAGATTGACGAGGATAGCGCCGCCAAGACGCCCGCCATCAAGAAACCCCACTTAGGAGTCTAGGTTCTTGTGCGGGGCGTCTTGGCGCTTCCTATTCTCTCGTCAAACCTCACAGGAGAGTTGTAGACACACGAGGAGTATGTCTAGTGACTAAGACATACATATTAAGGTCGCGCGAAAGGTTGGGCCGCTGCCTCCCGAGTATAATATTGAGATCGCGATTCGCAATTACACGTGTTATATGGCCCCCAAAACCTGTGCGGGGCCCTATGCATTAGCATGTAATGAATCATGTGGAAAGGCCGAGTGTGTGTCTTTCTAATTTAATTTATTTATGTATTTATTTATTTAAAAGACGGTAAATTAGGTAAAAGATATATCAAGCACTGAGGCTTGCAAGCTCTCACCGGCAGTGCCAATAATACTGAACAAACAGTAACCAATTAAGTGTACTAGCTTAACAAGGTGATTGAAGTGCACTTTACTAAGTGAAATATTGAGATCGGGCGTTTGCAATTAAACCCCACTGCTGGGCTACATGTCATCTCAATTTTAATTCACGTATACGATCATCACAACTTCACATTAGCTTTCCGAGAGCGACATGCTTCCCATATAAAGTGTCCAATCCCCGCACTCTATTAGTAATTAGAATATGGAGATTGGCTCTAAATGTAATATATATATTATAGATGAATCCGACATTTGCGATGGATTATATTTACCCGTGCCGTTTCAATCGCACGTGTGGCGACCGAATAACATTCTCCTTTGAGAGATGACGCACACATGAGATTCTCAGACCCTCGGAACCCTTACCAAGGAGTGTTTATTCGAGTCCGAGCCCTGTACGATTAAAAGCGGGTCCCATCCAAAAAGATATCCATCGCAAATCTGCGTTGTCGCATCACCAAAGCGATGTGATAACTTTAACTTTCATAAATGATATTGTGCGTCAAATTCATGAGACGAAGACGGAAAGAGATCAAAGTTTAATCAAATTAGACATACGATCACAGCATCCAGAGCATTACGGGATCACAAGCCGGATGCAGTATGTGTGCTCGGCAAGGAACCTCCTACTAGTCTAGGTTTCTCGCTGCCATAACATTTATATATATAATATATATATATATATATACATATATGTGTTGCTGTGTGGTGTGCGTGTGTGTGTGTGTGTGTCGTGCGTGCGTGCCCGTGCGTGCGTGCGTGCGTTGTCGTGTGTGTGTTCCGCGCCGCGCGCATGCAGCCACACGCCTCGTTACGACGTACGTACGCACGCTGTGCACTGACGGCGCACCTTACATTTATACTTATTAGCCTATAGACCTACGTGCATGTATTAAAACTCTGGTGTGTGAGTGAGCTACCGTACGAGTAGAGCCAAGTATATACATTTAATTATACATAATATTCAAGGAGTTTAAAGTTAATAACAAAGATTTGTTATAATGTGTTATTTAGATATTGATATATTATAATATAAAATATATAAATATATATATATATGTTATAAAATAAAATAAATAATAATAAAAAATATATATATATATATATATATATATAATATATATTACATATTATCAAGGCGTATAAGAAGCCTTCTTTATACGTTCTTGATATTATGTTAGTTTCAGCGGCAGGCCGCAAGGTGGGGTGCTGCGAGTTTTTAAAGGACCACGAGGCGCGTGTTCAGGAGATGCGAACGCTCGCTAGCGCTCGCTAGCGTTTCGCCTCTGAACACACTGCGCGACAGAGCGAGCGCGATGCCGGAAACGTTTGCGCGCAAAGTTTCAAAAGTGTTCGCTCAAGGCCGAGCGGTTGCTTTTCATGCATGGCGTACGAAAAAATCTTGGCGAATCGCGAATCTAACATTGTGCTTGACGGTCAATTTTGCCCAAGCTATTTATCAACTTTATTTCACTCTTTCATTCATTTCATTTACTTCTAAATTCAATTTGTATCAATTTTTCGCGTTGCGTCATTCGTTGTAACGAGTATTGTTATCTCGCGATTAAAATCTGTGAGTAAACCCTCCCATGGGGGCGCCAATCTTGGATCAAGGCGAGCGCGACAGCGAGGCGACACCGCGAGCGCGTCGTGTATCGTTCAGGAGGCGCTGCGTTACCGTTTCATCGCGGTTCGCATCGAGCGCTCGTCTCCTGAACACGCCTGCAGGCTCTTTGCGCGCAAATTGATTGTTTATAGGATGCGCGAAATGCGCTAGAAAGGAGCGACTGAATGGATAGACGGTAACTGATGGTGACGTAGGATGGTTACTGATTTAGGGTTAGGGTTAGGGTGTAGGGTTAGGGTTAGGGTTGGGGGTTAGGGTTAGGCTACACTTCTGTAGTACGAATAATTTATTAATCTTCAGTCGCCATCCTACGATTTAAAAACTCGCGCGCAGGAGTGGGTGTATTTCCTAGGCGGCGGCGCTGCGATCGCACTGTATTGTCTCGTTAGGCCATCTTTCCGTATTTATGTTTTTCACTGAGTTGCGCTGAATCTTAGTCGTATCACCGCTGCTGGTCACTTTGAGAAAGTGACACTCATAAACAGGTATACTCGCTTTGGTTCGGTGAATGTACTTTTTTGCCTGAACGAGCTCTGTGGAACGATTATTGTCGAAAAGTATCAATCACGAATCGGCGTTGTTTACATTAGTCGATTTACATTGATACATGATAGGATCATGAGGCTGAGTCTTGAGTCTTTGACACTTTTATTGTAGTATATTGACATTAGTGTCACTAGTATACTTAGTTATGTGCAGTGTCAGTGTGGTTGTTTCCTGAGCCCCAGTTTCCAGTGTTTAAATGATTGTGTTGAGATGCCTGGGCAAGTCACTATGCACGAAGCGTGTCGTTGTCGTAACAGGTACTACAGATATGGTACCGCAGGTCCATAGTTTAGCGTTGTTAGTATTATGTTTATATTTTTATATGAGGTATGCTTTAGGGTTGAGTTTAACTTAGAGTTAGGGTTTAGGGTTAGAGTTAGGGTTAGGTTAGTGGTTAGGGTGAGGGTACACTTCTGTAGTACAAGTCTCCGGTACCTTTGTGTATCATATATGTACCTCGGTTACATATCTGTAGGTACCTGTTACGACAACGACCCTTGAGCGTCACTAAATGTGTAAGTCGCCGGGTGCATATTCGATTTACCAGCCAATAGTAATACTAATAGTATACGTACTTATTACTAATGCTGAAGGGATCGTTGTCGTTATCAGGTACTACAGATTATGCTACCCGAGTGAGGTAATATATCAGGTTCTGCCGCCGCCGTAGGCAGCGAAGCCAATCTAGGGGGTCCGAGACCGACTTGTAGTTGTCTACAGACAGGTGTACCTACCCTAACCCTAACCCTAAAATACCTCATATAAACAGTCTTCACGATATGAAAGTTTCTAAACACTTGGCCTTCGAGGTCCAGCCAAGCTAGCTAAAATTTACTGACCGGACCTAAATTTTACTGGACCGAATATTATTTTGACATTTTTTACAATAAAGAACAAAATCAGTTAATGATGCATTTTTGTATTTTACCGTATAATATATACCTTCTACACACTGCTATGATAAACTAACAGTATAATTTACCTATCATAATATATCAGTACAATGCCTTCTACACATGCGCTACTAATAGAAGCTGCAAAATGAGAACAAAAAGTCTGCGTTAGTCCGTCAGTGAGGCATGTATCAACACATACTTCTAACAAACAGGCTATGATAACAGTAAGGATACTTATCAAACATTTATCACATAACTCATTGAATAAGTTCATTCGTGTTGGTAGATAATATTAAATAAACCAAGTTAATTGTTACTCGAAACCGTGCTGCGTATGACTGAAAACTTACGCTGACGTTTTCGCCTGCCTGTGCAGGAAGCTTTCTCCAAAGCTTAACTGAATTTAATCAGTTTTGAACCACCAGATTGGTGTGGTGGTCAGATAGCTTAGTCCACACGTTGCCACACAAAAGAGAGATCAAAAATTACTGCAAGCCTCAGTACAACGTTCTTATATCCCACGGCGCTGAACAAATGTGCCAAGAATCTTACTGTACACCAAAAATACATAAAGATAGGCAATCCGTTAGACCTATAGTCGCATACACAGGATCCATAGCACTACATGTGTCCAAAAGCTTAAGCCGATCTACTGGCCCTTTTGCGTAAGGCACACCGAACATCACATCAGAACTCACAGAAGTTAAGCAGAGGAACTAAAACGATACGTAGTGAAACCAGACGAGATATTAGTCTCACATGGACGTTGTCTCACTCGTTTACCAACACTTCCGATCCCAGAATCGATTAACATAATCAAGTCGGAGACTGGAGACGCAGACAAAAGTTGAGAAGCCCGAAACCACCTCACCACAGACGATATCATCGAATTACTCACGTTTGTCCTTATGACCACAATATTTCAAATCCAGAGACCAAATTTACAACCAGAAGTTTTGGAGCAGCCATGGCGTTAGCCCGGTCTCACCTATCGGTTGCCAATCTTTACACTGAATCGGCTGGAAAACCGGAAGCCCATTGCCAGCACAGCCCGGCGAGATCTCAAACACAAAATTGTCGGCTACGCTATGTAGATGACACTTTTGGAAATCATCAAGTCTGGTTACAGTTCAACAATGGGACAGAACACCTCAACAGCATCGACGAGTACCAACAACATTCAAAATTTACGTTACGAGCGAAGAACCTGATCAAAAAATTCCGTTCCTCGACACACTCATTCGGATAAAGCGAGAAGATGGCTCATTAAAACTGACGGTTATACCAGAAAAAAGTCCAACGGACCAGTATTCTAACTTCACACTTCACACCCAACACAGTCAGACCACAAACTTGTCTGTGAGTACGCGAACCCTCTAGATCGTAGAGACAAAATTATAACGGGAGAGTGAGGACGGAAGCTGAAGCGCGCCACATTAAGATACGCTTTTACGGGAAATGCGGCCTATATCCAATTGGAACACATCGAAAAGTGTCCCAAGGAGCATGCAAAACACCACGGGAAAAAGATCATCCCAAAAAGAAAACTTCCACGGGAAAACCGAAGAGCGATGATCGTCCCTAACCCTACGTCAGAGGGGTCACGGACGTGTTAGCAGGCGTCACCTAAAAAATGCAGGTGGTGGCGTCAACAGTTGAAGAGACCGTTGAAAACTGCTAACTGGTCTTTTTAGTACGATCCTATAAGACAAGAACAGACAATGCCACAAACATTACGGACTGCGTCTATAAAATACCGTGTGCTAATGTGTGATAAGAAGTTTACATTGGAGAAACCGGGTGGCCGAAAATTAAACAGCCGCGCCTAAAAAGAAGCACTAAAGAGGAGTGAGACCCGAGCACCCAATCTTTCACGAGGGGCCTGGGAGGCGAAAACAGTGCGGCGTACGCGAAATCACAAAATCCGCGATCACTGATCAGTCGACGAATGGACATCGACGGAGGGGGCCATCGATTGGAGAAGTTCGCAGATCATTGACGGATGGGGCTCTAACGAAAATCGGAGGCGTTGATCAAGGAGGCGCACGGACGGGCGCAAGAGCCCAAATATCAAGCTGCGGCACGAGAGGCGATACAGGCTTAGTCACGTGTGGACTAAAGTATTGACACCAGGCCGAACACCATCTGGTGGTGGCAAAACTTGATTAAATTCAGTTAGCTTTGTAGAAAGCTTCCTGACGAGGAGGCGAAGACGCGTCACGCGTACGTTTCATTAGCATGCACGGTTGTAGTAACAATTAAACTTGGTTACTTGTATAGTTATCACATACCTTCTACAAACTGCTATGATAACGAGTAAGGATACTTATCAAACATTTATCCTCCTTCTCAAAACTTGCTATGATAACAGTAAGGAACTTATCTAGATGGAAGATAAGAAGAGTATGATCATTGTCAGGGTTTTAACACCGACGTTTGCATAGTTTTGAACTCGGTAACTAATCTATACAATATGTGAATAATATATTCAAACTTTACCTTGTTTTCGTCTATGATTCTCACTTATTCATATGGACACCACCATTGTGACTCTGAAATCGATGTGTTCTTCAAAAGTTAAGTTGAATACGACACGGTTTTCCCAACAGTTATCAAACGCTGGATACATCCTCGACCGAACGTTGTTTGGGACTAGTGTTCTTATTGTCTATGACGGGTACGCTGGGGCCGTAAGGAATCAAGCTGCAGCTAGCGGCCGATGAGGCCATTTATTTTAGACGCTGGAAACCGCTGGCACGCTGAATACAATTCGATTGCCTTAATATATGCCCAGTACGACCCCCCAAAGTTTCCGTCATAGCAATAGAAACATAATCCAAACAAAAGTTTCGGTCGCGAAAGATGTAATTTCATGCCGTATAACTGTGCCGGAAACCGGTCGTATTCAACTAACTTTTATTGAAGAACACATCACGTGTTTCAGGTAAGATTTGGTCGGTGTCATATGAATAAGGAGAGAAGTCATAGAACGAAAACAAGCGTAAAGTTGAATATAATTTATTCATCATATTTGACAGTCTTCGACGTTAGGCGGTGGACCGTGGTCAGCAGACCACAAACTCTCTCGGTCCAGTAAATTTAAGGAAGTTAAATGGACCGTCGTGCCACCACGTTTTTTTCAGTACACTACTAGTTAGCAAGTTTTAAATAATTATCAAAGTATTTAATGAGTACTACTTTACTGGTATACATAACTGCGAAAAAACCTGCGCACTAAAGACCCTTATCAAAAAACGCACACACTCTTCGTGTATTGTTTTTGCTATTTAATCAGACTTGTAAAAAAAAAAAAAAAAAAAAAAAAAAAAAAAAAAAAAAAAAAAAAAAACTCGAAGATAAACGGCAAACTGGTTGTAAAACGATCAACGGACATATGCCGGACAGTCGCTTCAAAAAATGTTGATTAAAATAATATAACGACAATTTCTACAAACTGCTATGATAACAGTAAGGATACTTATCAAACATTTATCACATACCTTCTACACACTGCTATGATAACAGTAAGAATACCTATCAAATATAAATCACATACCTTCTACAAACTGCTATGATAACAGTAAGAATACCTATCAAATATTTACATCACATACCTTCTACACACTGCTATGATAACAGTAAGAATACCTATGACGTTTGGTTAGCGATGAAACAAAGTTTAAAAAGTGTTATGTGTACAGTAAGTAGTCTCATAAATACTTTGATAAATTATTTAAATACAGTAACTAGAGTGGCTGAAAAAAACTGGTGGACCGACGGTCCATTTAACTTGTTAAATTTACTCGACCGAGAGAGATTTTGGTGGTCTCGGACCACGGTCCACCGCCTAACGTCGAAGACTGTATAAAAATATAAACATAATACTAAACAACCTAAAACTACCTTGGGTACATATCTGTAGTACCTGATACGACAACGACCCCATCTGCAATACTAATACAGTAATACTACTAATAGTGATAGGGCTCATAGTCATAGGGTCTATGTCCCCCAGGGTACTGCCGGAACGTACCCTGGTAACT